ATAATGTTGATATGTCTGAGAACTCTGCTATCTCTGCTATCTCTACAATCTATGTTGAGTCACATGATCAGAATTAAGAAATTAAGGAATTAAGGATAATTCCGGGCCGTAACACCGCGATGAAAAACCAAAATAACCATTGATATAACAGTTGCCACTGCCGTAAAGAATTTTCTCGAAAACTATGCTGAAATTCATGGACTACCAAGTCCTGGTAGAAATGTCAACTGCATAACTCAATCGCTTACACTTTTACCAGCTGAAACGAGTTACAAGTCGGTCTATCGTGATTTTATTGCAGGTCTTGAAAATGATAGCACGTTGAAATTGTTAAAATATGATGCGTTTCGCAAGTTATGGCACCAATTAACGCCTTATATTCAAATTATGAGTTCACAAACGAATTTATGTGACACGTGCCAACATTTTCGGAATGGCTTACAGTATAATGCTCGTAAGGAGGAAGAAGCGAAAGATTTACTAAAAAATTTCAAAGAACATTTAGTTAAAGCTAAGTTAGAGAGAAATTATTACAACAAAAATACGAAATTAGCAGAACAACAGAGAAAATTAGTAAATGATAATTATGCTGTAACAGGAAGCAAAGCTGAATATTGTAGTATAAACGCGACTGCTCATTACAGTTACGATTGAGCGCAAAACGTTCATGTGCCCCATTCCGATCAGCAGGTAAGTAAAATTTATTATCTTAGTCCACGTAAAGTACATTTATTTGGTATTCAAGATGAAGCAGTACGCGAACAAATTAATTACATTCTCGATGAAGATGAAATTATCGGCAAAGGTCCTAATGATATCCTGAGCCTGGTATTCAATGGAATAAAGAAATTGAATAAAGGTGAAAAGTATTTAAAGATTACTTGTGATAACGTGGGTGGTCAGAATAAAAATAATGCCACTATTTGATTTTACTTATATTTAGTAATTTGCGGTTATTACAAAAGTATCGAGTTAAATTTCATGGTACCTGGACATACTAAATTTAAGTGTGATGGTAGCTTCGGACTTATTAAAAAGCTTTATCGAAAAACAACCGTCGATTGCGTGGGTCATATTATTGAAGTTGTGAAAAAATCGAGTACAGCGGGATTAAACAAGGCTCAGAGTTATGACAATGGAAAAGGTTTTCAATATTTAGATCTTAATTCAGTGTTAGGAATTTTCTTTAAAAAATTGAGTGGTTTACAAAAATATCAACATTTTGTATTCGAAGCAGCCAAACTTGGTATTGTCAAAGCTCAGTTGGTTGCTAATGATTCATATACTGAATTTAATTTATTGAAAACCAGAAAAATAACTGTTTCTGAAATTACCAGAGAAATTAAATCTTTTTCTATTTTAGTTCTAACTCTGCCTCCTTTGGATTACAAAAGACAAGAATATCTTTATCATAATATTCGCCCCTTCGTTAGGGATGAATTCAAGGATATCACTTGTCCCAAACCAATCTATACTGATAATGAATAAAAATATTAGTCAACTGCAAATTTTATTACTTTTATTAGTTTTGTTTGTTTCTGTTACTATTAAATTCTTTATATTTAATGCTTTTAATATTAAAATAATAATATAGAAATTAAAATCATGACAAACCAAAACAATATTTTAACCGAAGAGGAAATAAAAGAACTAATTGGAAGTTTAAACAGAAATCCAAGTGAGGCAGAGATAGGGGCAGTTATAGATTATTTTTGACTTCGCCCTCATGCCTTGAAACATTTAGAAGACAAAGAATTTAGAAAAAGTTTTGTTCGTCTTATTTACCTGCATAAGATTGCACTTGATGGATACAAAAAAGCTGATAAAGAAGTTAGAAGTTTACAGTTATTAACAACTAATTTAGAGCAAGAGAGAAATGAATTGCTTGAAATAAATAAGCAATTGGAAGTAAAGTTAGAAGAAAAAGATAACAGAATAGAAGAATTGGAAGAGAGAGTAGAAATAGAACAGGAAATGTCTATGAAAGCATTAGATAAAGCTGAGGAATGGCATGAGCGAAAAAACTTTGAAATAGCTATGCAGAAGGATGTTTTTATATTTAGCCAGCAACAGACAATAGAAAAATTGAGAAAGGATTTAGATGCCAGAGATAAGAAAATAGCCAAATTAACGGAACCTAAGAAGTTCCAACAACTCCGAAAGTTAGCAAATAAAACTAAGGAAAAAATTAGCACAAAAGTTAATGTAATTAAAGAAAGTGTTAAGGAAAAAGAGCAAAAGTTCCAAGCCTACATTTTACAACAATTCGAAACACATGTTTTGAAACAATAATTATGAAGTTGGAATATAGGATTCTTGAGGTAGCAGAAGGAGATAAACAAGATTGTAATTATTGCTCATTCAGTTTTCGAGATTTTCGTTTTAAAGACAATCTTACTCTCAACATTGCTACTCACCAAGTAGCAGCATTCAAAAATAATAATGATTATGCTGACATAGCTTATATTTGTGCTGATTGTAAAAAAGATTTTGAAAATGATACTCTTCCTTACTGTGAACTTTGTGATAGACTAAAGAGAAATAGGAAAGGTTGCTTTTGTAATCTGTTAGAGAATAAACCAATACAATCACTTTCTACAGAAGAAATAACATCTAGAACTTTTGGTTATCATTTAGAAAAGAAAACTAGAGAACTAGAAAAAGAACTATCAACTGCTAAAGAAGAATTAAATATTGAGAGGGAAGAAGTAGTTAAATTTCATGAGAAATCCAAAGAATGAGGTGATGAGAAAATAAAGCGAATTAAAGAACTAGAAGCAGAGAATGCTAAGTTAAAAGAAGAAAATAAACAATTAAAAGAGCAACAAAATGGTCAAGTTGCTCAAATTGAAGTTAAAGAAAATAAGAGATGATCTTGATTAAAATCAAAAAAATAATTGTTCTTTTTTTAGAATGCTTCTAATGGTGCTATAATTTTGGGTTCCATGGTGGATTTAATGCAAATTAGTTTCATATTAATATTTTTATATAGGGATAGTCCTATATTAATCCTGTTATGATTTATATTCCTCACATTCTGGTATGATAAAGTGAGCATTAAATTTAACAAGTCTGTAAATTATGAATGAGCACCATTATTACTTTTCAAAACGTCATTAGTATTAATCAAATTAGTTAACTTTCAGCCACACCAGCCTCTTATTTCAGAATGTTCACTTTGTCTGGTTTTGTTGCAGCATGCCTCATATTATATAACTTATATTTGATATGAGCTAAACTTTTTTGATAAAGAGTTAACAAAGTTTAATTTTTAAAACATATATAATATAATATTATAAATTATAAGAAAGATCAAATAAAAGTTAGTAAAAAGAATTTATTAGATAATATAATATTTGATTGTTTTATAATTTTACTAATTGAAAAAATTATTAATTTAATAATTAAAGAAAATTTATAATCTTTTATAGAAATAGTTTAAGTTATTTCTTTTATCAATTTGGATTATAAATAAGAATACTTATCAAAATCTCTTAATAACTATTTAAATTTTGTTAAAATTATAATAAATTATTAATAAATAGAATATCAAAATTCTGTTGAATTTTGAAATCTGTTAAAACTAAAATTCTATCAGAATTCTAATTAATAATTAATATATAACTCTTTAAAACTTTGTTAAAATATTTTTGAAGAAATTTTAATAAGTATTCTTAATTATAATTTGTATAATATACTAAATAATTTTTTAAAATACAAAAATCAAAATAATAAATAATAAAACTCCAAGTAATTATATCTATTAATTTATTTTTTTTATAATTGAACTTTGTATTAGTATATTATATTTGTATATTTATTGAACTTTTTTGGTTTTTATTATATATCACTTTTATTCAATTAAATTATTATAAAAAATGAAATTCATAATCAAGTTTTAATCTTAGTCAATTATAAAATTCAAGCAATATTAAAATTAATAAAAGAAATATACTTCAAAGTAAGAATACTTACTGAAATTTCTGAAATTTCTTCAAAAATATTTTAATAGAGTTTTGATAATCTATATACCAATTATTAATTAAAATTTTGGTAAAATTTTAGTTTTGATAAATTTCAAAATTTTGACAAAATTTCAGTATTCTATTTATTATAATTTTAATAAAATTTAAATATTAATTAAGAGATTTTAGCAAGTATTTTTACTTTAGAATTAGATGAAATAATTATAAATAAATAATTACAATATTATTAATATTATATAAAATTTTATAAGTTTTAAATAAATTTTGTGAATTTATAATAATCATTATAAGTTAGAAAAAAAGAATTTTATTAAGATTTTAAAATAAAATAAATTTGTTTATTAATAAAATTATATATGTTTATTTATTATTATATTATAATTTTATAATAAAATTATATAATAAAATTATATATTTATTATATAATATTCCTTAATTAAATACTCCAAATATAAATTTCAAATAATATTTTAACTGATTATATCATATTATGAACATATTATTATTATTATTTTAGATTTTTTATAATTATAATTTAATACTTGAGGAATTATATAAAATTAATTATATTATATATTATTATAGTAGTAATAATAATTTTGCAAATTTAAGAAAAGTCATAACTTTTAAAAATAGAAAATCTCTAAAAATATTAAAAATACAAAAAAGTAATAAAATAACTTATAATATATTATTTTATTTTTTATTTATCTTTTATTATTATTTTATCTTTTATTTTTATCTTTTAGTTATTTTACCTTTTATTTTATCTTTTATTTTATTTTTATCTTATTTTTTTGACTAATTATTTTATCTTTAGAGAGTTATTATATTTGAAATTGTATTTTTGAAAAATATATAAATAGAAGTACTATTTGAATTTTAACTCAACATATTACAAATAAAAAATAAAATTCTCTTTTAACAAAAATCTCCTTCCAAATAATATTTGTCTCTCACTTTTAATTATATATATTAAAACTTGTATACAAATAGCTTTGAATCATATTGTGTCAAACAAAATATTATTATTGATTTTGAACTTTAGATTATATTGTACTGAACAAATTACTGTTATTGAATTTATTGATTTTGATTAAGTATTTTGATTTTTATTATTTTGAATTTTTGTTATTTTTGAATTTGATATTTTAGTATTTTTAATTTGTGAGAAGAACAAAATGAAAGAGTCTTTGTTATTATAATTATCCTGGTTAAATATCTATTACAACATTATTAAACTCTTCTCTATATAATTTTATAAATCTCTAAAATAATAGCAATATCTAATTGAAATAATAAAAAAATTAAATTAATATTATATTTATTTATTAACTTTATTAAAAAGTTTGAATTTGATTAATAAAAATTATAATTTTTTAAGCTAAAATACATGTTTCTTTTATAAATAATTAATGAATATTAAAATATAAAAACATAATTATTTAAATAATATGATTATTTAATAAGAATTTGATATTTTGAGATAATAAAATTTAACTTATAAATATAACTCCAGTGAATAGATATATAGTGTTTTATTGTTAATATATTGTCTTATAAACTTTAATGATTTTATGGATCTCTAATATTATGCAAAGTGGTATTTAACAATAAAGCAAAAAAAAGCAACCATAGATATATTATATTTTTTATGTATTTTGTCTAATTAAGTGAAATAAATAAAAAGAAACCAAATGCAAAAACAATCAACTTATTAATGTTACACATTCGTTGCCTGCCATTTGAAAATTAACCAAACGAGTACTGATATCATACACGCGGCAAACACTAGTTAAAAGGAAACAACTTCATCAAAAATAATTCATAACATTTCACAATTCTAAAAATCAGATAGAATTTACTTGTTTTATAGTTAGCCAATAATCTTGCCGATTGTTTTTCCATTTCCACTTGATTTTGCAATCTCGTCAACTAGAAAAAAAGGAATGTTAGTATTTGTTCATTATATAATCAAGAAAATCGTTGAAGATATAACAACCAGTTGCTGATGTTGCTTGAGTATATTGCTTTTATCACGAATCCTATTTTTCATCATTGTTACTTTTTCGACAAGTCCGGCAGTTGTATTGGTGGTCAACTCGATGGTCTCTCGCATCTCCCTGGCGGATCGTTCTCGAGTTGATGTAATTGATTCCTCCAAATCCTAAAATTATTTGTTGTTTCAAAATATTAGTTTAGATGATAATTATTAAATTTTCTCTATCGGAAATCCAACTCTACTTAACCTTTATAAGTCGATCTAATTCTCGGAGTTTGTTAACGTAAATATCTAATTCTCCTGCTTGTTGACCAATTTTTTGCTACACATCGATAAAAGGTAAGAATTCATTACTAAATTTAGATTTAATCTAAAAAATTGGGGGATAAAAAATATACTATTGCTAAACAAACCCGTAACATCTTAATCTCATCTTCATGCTCCGAGTACTCAATCCCGAGTTGGATCGCGTCCAATCCCATTTCTATGTTATTCGTTATCGATGAAAATACTCAAACAGAGAGAAATCGATTTATTATTATTATATTTTATTATTGCTACTGCGCCATACAATATTAGGTGGTGATGACCGCCTTTGACTTCTCAGAAAAAACTGCATCAATACTAGAGGCTGAGTGTGGGAATACTCTCTTCTTTATATATAGGTTTAATCGACAATGTAACCTTTCGGTGATAGATTAGAGGTTAATAAAATTTCGTATAATGAATAGCAAATGCTTCGATTACTCTCGATTATGATACGCTTATTCGTTAATGTACAAAAAATAGTGCGAGCAATATATTTTTTGCGAATAGCAATTTTACTTATGCCTTATGTCATAGTTTAAATATAAACTTATTCTCTTAATTTTTAACGAAAATTGCTCAATATACCTTTTCTTTCGCGATTCACATTCAAGATAGACATCCGTTTTTCGGAGATAATATATACTGCAACGTTGATGTCACAAAAAATTTAAGGGGTCTGGTTATGTGGCTTAGTAAGTTTCTTAGTCTATTTTTTTCAATCCAATAATTTATCAATGAAAGGCGGTATCATAGTATATGTTCGACCAACATCTTGTTGCTGTAATGAAAGAATTGCAATTTCAGATTTTAGCGTTAATGTTAACATGCAAGATAATCATCCAGACGATCACGATAAATACTGATCTCCAAAACAAAAAAGTTCGCGATTCACTAACGAATATTCCAAAGTGCGGATAATGTCCCTTACAACAGTAAACACAAATTTATTTCCAGACTTGTCGTTCACGCCATCGCAAGTACAACTATCAAAAAAGATATCTCGAAAAACAGAAGACTGGACATTCGCAAAAAAAGAGTTGAGCAAGCGAAAAGCAAGTGCCAATGCACGCCTTATTTACTTCGAGAGGCAACTTCAAAGACTTGAGTCTACTGCAGTGGTGGCCTCACGGCGTGAAAAAACTTCCTTCGAACATAAAAAGAAGGATAATAAGAGAGGGTCAAGTACTACAACAACAACAACAACAACCACAATAAAGATCGAAACACATGGTAGACTTAAAATCTTTATTTTCTCCACTGTATTTAATGGTTCTAAAGTTTTGGGTTTTATTTTATATATTTCGTCGATATTTTCTGAATTTGTCGTGCTCTAGCGAGTGTCAGGTAACTTTTTTGGCTTAATCTTATCATAATTTTGATTAATATTCAATTCCTCTCGAAATTTATTATAGTACTACGACAAAAAAGAAGAAACTAAAAAAACCTGAAGATGAAGATGATGAAATTGAAGAAAAATTAGAAGAGGAGGAAGATGGTGACTGGGAGGATACTCAGAGAGCACGGAAATCCGCAACGAAAAATAAATCAAAGCAAAAGTCTGTGAGTTAATGATTTACATAATCACAATAATAATAATCATAATAATCACAACCATAATCATAATAACAATAATCCATAATAATAGATTTAATTTAGCACGTGTAATCTACTATCAATATTTTAATAAATTTTCAAAAAGAATATTTATAATTGTTTTATCTATAATATTATTAGAAAGCAAAGACTTCGAAAAAGACCAAAAATACAAACAAAAAAAGAAAGCGAAACACGGATAATTCCGACAACAAAGATGTGGAAGAAGATACTTCGAAAATCAAACCAAAGGATCAAATTCCTATTGTAACATTTTTTAATACGGTCGATATGTACGCACGGCCATTTCGAGAGGAAGATCATCAATTCCTACTAAATAAATTGGTAATTATATTCTTTTATCAAAATGTAATCTAAAAAAAAAAACTAACCTTATACTGTTAGACCGAAGCAGAAGATCGTAAAACATATGAAATTCCTGCTCTAGGAAGACATTGGGAAGATTCACGCGATGAGGAACCGTATAATAGTGATCGAGGGTATCATTCAGACGAGATTGTAGAAGTAGAGGCATTAGGCTTGGGCACCATTTCACATGGTCCATTGACGAATCGGTTGTTCAGCGCTTTCATGGCCGAAACAACAGATTTCGATATCGCGAAACTTGGGAATAAGGCTGACAAAGAAGTTAATGGGCACAATGAAAAGAAAGAACTTTTCATCCCACTGAAACATGAAGAAATCGGAAATATCGACGAAAAGCTCAAACTCGAGCTTCAATATGTTGGGATATTAGAAAAAGATGAAGATCTTAACGTGCTGGTATGATTGAGAATAAGCGAGACTTTTCACATTATTACTTTTTTATTATCTTAATAAGGCTATTTGTATACTTAGAAAGAACAGCCTGTTGTCGCTACTACAAATACAAACCAAAATGGACGAGATGATGATGAAGTAAAAAATAGGCTTATCGAATTACAAGAAGCTTTACGAAAACAGAGTCAAGTAAACGTCACTCGAATCTCGAAAATAATACCGGAACTAAGCAAGCATATGGCCTATAATCAATTTAACGATATACTAGATCAATTAGACAAGCAAATGGAGGATAGCTTTGCTGTGCGATTTGTATGTAGATGATATCACGGACGAGCTGTATCCTCTCTGTTTTGTTTTTGATTGTAATCTCAAATTTATGCGTAATTCTTTTAGAATTTAACAAAAACTCCAAAGAAGAAAAAACCGGCAAATACTGAAGAACCCGAATCGAACTTAACACGCCGCCAAAGATACACCGAAAAAATTGGTCGATTGTTTAACCCTGAAGAATTTATGCTGCCGACTGAATCAATTTTCGATGAAGATGAGGATATTCCAATGTCAAATGAGGAGTTGATGCATAATTAAAATGTATCATGTGAAGTTGAATTGGATACTAATTTAATTTCTTTTCTAGCAGCAAAACATTTCAGCATCGAAACTTTTAGTGGTCTAATTTATTTTTTTGTCATAACATGTCAAAATGAAACATTGAATGCACAGTTAGATACACTAGAAATTAAGAAAGCTAAAAAAATAAAAATATCAAGAATTCGTTGTTAGCATTTCACTAATAATCATTCAAGCAAGCGCTCAACACAGATTTTTTGAAAGGTATATAGTGAATTTTATTAAAAAATAAAAAAAATATTATTTACAAACACTGATAGTGATAAATATATAATATGTAATATAAATATAATAAATTAAGAAAACAAAGTGTGTGTATGTACACATATTTGTTGTGGAGATTATGATGATGATGATGAATATGTAAAGAAATAAATAAAAAATATTTTACGAATGATTACAAAGATGATGCGATAGTCTTTTTTGCAAAGACACTAGCAAGAGACGTAAACAAATCCCACACTTTGAAACGTTCAATTCCAGGAAAGTAACGTTTTTATGGAAAGATAAGGAGGAAAAAAGAGGATACACGATAGGTGTTAAGGTGATATGGTGTAGTAGTAAGAGCGATCAAAAAGGAGATTTGATATATATATATATATATATATATATATATGCATGTATATATATGTGAATTAAACTACAATGGCGTTTTTCGAAGTCCGGAACCTCTGCGCCGGTTTGGATGGCATCTTGAGTAAAAAAAAATAAAATATTATTTTTGAGTTTTTAGTAGAGTAAAGATTTTATTTGATTTTTTTTGGGATTTTTAAAAATAGTTTTGGGGTTTGATTTTGATGATGTTGGGAGATATTTAGATTAAAAAACAGATATATATTTTTTGGAAGCGAGGCAAAGTAGAGAAAAGAACGAAAAAATGAATCAAAATAAAAAATCTACTATTTTTTCCTTTATGTATATACACACACACACGCACACACAACCCCCACTCGTTCTCTTGACGAAAACCCAATATTACAGATAAGAAAAAAGGAAATGAAGTACAAAAGAAAAAAAAAGGTTTCAAAATACAAAACCAAGAGAGAAACCGGTCTCCCTTTGCCCTAATTATCCCCGATTGCAGATATCAAGACCAAAAATGCATTCAGAAAAAGGAAATGGCGAATTCGTAAATCGGTTTTTATATAGAACTATCGCCAGGGCATCATTTTAATACTCCTCTGAATCAATTACGACAGCATTAAAGAAATGTCGTATGTTGTATTTTATGTTGAATATCATGGATGAGAGAGCGGATTTTTGATGATGTCACATATGTTGAAAGAAAGCGAGGTATACACGCGTGTCTGATGTGCGTATTTTGATACAAGGAAAATGTAGTCGAAACCGGTGCTCGTACTCTTTTGGGCGTAATAACAGTATCACTTTGATGCGGGTACGTTGTTTTTGCTTCAATTCACTTGTCGTAAATCGTTCGTTCTCATTTTCATTCCGCTTTTTTATTTTATTTTAATGTATTAATTAACAATTTAATTGATAATCAAAGGGGGAAAAATAAATATTATATATCCTTTCCCCACTCACTTTCTTCGAGAAAGCGTCCAAAAGATTTTTGTGATAAATTATTGTTTTTATTGTGATTGAAATTACTAATATAATCAAAAATGATTGATTGATATCGAATTTTTTTGAATAAAAAATTTCATCAAGATAAAATTGGCTAATTTCATTTTTTTCCAATACTTGCTTGGAATAGTTGCTGTGTAAGGAAAAAAAAAAAGGAGAGACAAGTGAGTGGGTAAAGAATATAAAAGAATGTAAAAAATTTAAGAATAAATAACGTAAAAGGGGAAGTGTGTCATAGAAACATAATAAAGGGGGATTTCGAGGGAAAAAAGTGAAAGGAAATAATGAAAAAAAAGGGACAGTGTATAATGATATTTCTATTGGTGTTGTTTATCTTCTAGAAAAAATGACGCCAAACCGGCGGGCCAAACCACCACCAACAGAACCATACACACTAGCAGGAAGACGTGAGCCACAAACAAATGCGTAGATTAGGTTGGTTGATTGGTTGATTGATTGGTTGGTTGGTTGGTTGGTCGGTTGCGTGCTTGCTTGCTTGGAAGTTAAACCTCTCTAATTATCGTTTTTTTTTTGAGACTTTATAATTAAAAAATCGGAGCGAAAGAAAAGTGATCCCCCTGTGATCAATATATTTGAAAAGTGGTATCCATATCTCAAACTTAAGTTTCATAAGAACTTTTTATTTTCAACCTCATAATTGATAAGCTTAACAGTTCAAGAAAATAAAAGTAGATTAATTGCAAATATATTTGCGTAATTGACATGTTGAAAAGAAATATTGGAGGCGTTGACCGTTGACGATTGTAATGGCACTACTATGATTCAGCATTGATTTGATTGTTGAAATGTTTAATATTAACTTGTCCTTGCGTATTATGAATAAATATTAAATAAATAAATAAGGTCAAAATTGATGTTAAAAAGGGTGAACTTGTTCCATTTTAACAATACGCAACATCTCCGTTAACCCAGGAATCATCCAAGCCGAGACCATGATTCGAGCTCGAAAGATTGTCATTACCGAGTGTGTCTCCAAAGGTCAAGAAATCGCTACCCTCAGAAGAATGACTACCAGCAAAAATGCTGGCGAAATCTTCATTGGTAACATTCGGTAGACCATTGGCGTTCAAAGCAACAGTGAGGTCATCAGAATATAATGAAGTTGTATCGATTGACATGTTTGTGAGATGATTTTCTGGCAAGGTGACAAAAGGATCTTGAGCCAAAAGTGGTGATGTATTAATAAGTTCCGGTGATTGGTTATAAACGTCAGATGGTGTGGCTGGTGAAGCTGAATTAATATCCATCGGCGACGAGCAGAATTCAGGTGAGCTGATGTGTCCAGCTTTGAATATGTCAAGCAAAGCAACTGATGTATTTATTTGTAAGGCTGCATTCTGTGCCATGGCGGATGTTGCAGTGGCCAAGGCTGAAGAATGATCAGTTGAATCATCTGAAGGTGATAACGGGACCGAAGCTGCACGACGAACACGTGTATGCTGTTTTAGTATCTCGGCATTTCTGATATCAACTTCTTTGTCAGACTGAGATCCATCCTCGAATCTCAAATTTTCAGCGATCGAACCGCTTGGAAAAGATGAGCGACGAGGAAGAGTATGTTGTTGTTGTTGCTCGCCATTGGAATCATCACCGCAGTACAAGTTCATGTCGATTTCATGCTTGACTTCATCGTGAATCGTAGTAACCTTTGCAATTTGAGCATCATCTTGTGTAAATTTGAAAACTTGCTTCTTCAATACTTCCGAACGACCTTTCATGACATGTCTCATATGACGTGTGGCTTGCCTATCCTCTGTGAAATCGGTGCACATTGTCCATTGTCCGTGTGCTCCTTCCATAAAGAAGTTTGGCGGATCTCTTACTTCGATAACAATTTGACCAGACACATTATCAATTGGTCGGAATTCAACTGCAGTGATTTCCGAGAGTGGAAATTCCATCTTGAAATGTCGATTATTGTTTGTGATGTGATAAGTGAATAACTTTTGCTGAAGTGTATAATAACACAAGAGATCAGTTGGGGTTGTGGAGATTCGTCGCCAAGTACCGATTGTTAATGTTTCAGATGCTAAAAAATGCGGTGAATCGTTTGTGCCGTTACTGAATGACGGACTAAGAAATTCTTGAGGTGGTGTGAACTGTTGAGGTTGAGTGTTTGAGATATCTATTTATTTTATTTGGATTTGTTATTAATAACAGAGAAATTAGTTTACCAGTTTATAATTGAATATGAAGAAAATATCAATGCAAAAATCTCATACCATTAATTTTCATTGGGATCCCACCGGTGGGATTATTGGGGGAAACGACAAGTCGCAAAGTTTGCGCTGAAGTCATTCCATGATTTGAATTTGGACTAGCATTAGGTGAATTTGGGAATCGTGGTTGTGGATTAGTCGTAAAAGGGAATCCATTCATGATACTATGATCAGAATTTAATTGCGGAATTGGTGCAGTCATCGGTCCTGAACTCCAGAAACCTTGATGACCTTGAGGCATCGAAATTCCCAATCCGGCTGCTGGATGTGAAGCGCGCATACCCGGATTAATACCCGCTGTCACGCTATTTAAACCTGCTGAGATATCGCTAGAGCTATAAGAACGAGGGATTGCGGACATACGGAAAGGGTATAAACTGTGTCCACCATATCCTGGCATGCATGCAAATAATTGAGCTTTCATTGTTTCTTCATGAAGCATGTGCACTCGTTTTTGCATCGCCTTCATCTTTGCGCGACGATTTTGGAACCAGATTTGAATAGAACGTTCAGACATGTTTACTTTTTCAGCTAATGCTTCGCGAACTTTACTATTTGGAGAGGTGTTTGTTTTGAAGGTCTCTTCCAATATGGCAAGTTGTTCAGGTGTGGCACGTGTGCGCTTTTTATTGTTTGTGGGTGTAGATGGTGGTGGTGGTTGTGACACGGTATTATTACTATTGTTGTTGTTATTCGACAGTTGTGAAAGTTGGGGAGATTTGGAAGAGTTGGACTTGCCAATTTTGTTGCCGTTTATATCGGCGATCTCCTTGTGGTTGCTTGGCTCAGCCTTGCAGCTATCGTTTGTGTTTGGGACGACGTCTGTGCTTGCATCAGTGCCCTTATTGATTGCAATTTTACCATCATCGAGAGCCTCTGGACGATTAGAGAAATGGTTGAGCGAGTTTCCAGAACTCGAAAGTTCCCGAGCGGTGCCCTCCTTGTTGCCACCGCTTAATGAACCAGATTGCTGGAGAACAGGCATAATAGACGAGGAATTGGCAGCAGATATGTTAGTATTACCGCTATTGGTATTGGCAGTATTAACCAAGTAAGAGAAATCTGCTGCGGCTTTATTAAACTCAAAGTATTGTTCATCGTCAAAGTAACTGGACGGGGAACCGTGATAGGCTCTTTTGTGTGGCCTTTCGGCTGACATGTAATCAGTCATGATATTTTGTATGTGTTCGAGGTGATAGAAGTTGCGAGAAAATCTCTTTTTTGGTAGAGAACTATTGTGAATTGATAGAAGAGAGCGATAAAGTTTTCCTAGAACTTTTTATATTTTTATTTTGACCCAGAAGTTCGACTCTTTTATTTGCGGGAGGTGCCTATTGTTGTTGTCGAGAAAATAAGGATGGGATTAATTAATAATCAACAGATGGATGAATGCGTTGTTTTTAAACGTAATGTTTAGCGCATTGATGATTCAAATTAACAGTTACACAATCTAATTTGATTTATGCACTGTCCTAGAAGTTCGACAAACACATAATGCTATTATATGCTAATAGCACGTATGCATTTCTCCATCTACACCATCTGTAAACATTATGACTCTCTACGCATTATCCAAAATGCACACACACCACCCAAAATGCACACATACAACCCAAAATGCACACACACGCCCCTAAATGCGCACCACACACCCCTGAAACCAAAGGCTTACCTTTACAAAAGGTTAACCTGATTATTGAGAGCTGACTAAAAGAAAAAGTAGTCGGGATAAAGGGAAAGCGAAAAAAGAGAAATTATGCAGGAAAAATGAGACAATTGATGGAGAATGAAAATTAGATGGTGAGGAGTTGGTGGTAATAGTGGCTTGGTTGGTTATATAATATCCCGTTTTCAAGACAAAAAAACTACTAATTCTTTTTTTTTCGGAAATGTATGTACACACTAACGATATAAATTAAGGGAAAATATCAAAGAGTGTATGTGCAAATGTGCGAATGCAGCTTTTTGCTAACTGAGGAACGCAGCAACAAATAATGTTTTTTGGTTCTAATAAAAAAGTCGACTTCAACAAAAAGAAACTGAAAGAGCGCAGTTAAAAGTTGGGTTTATGATTATTTACTTTGTATATATTTATATATATTATATAGAAAAAGACAGAAAAATGTAAGAAATTAAAGGAAAGTGAAAAGGCCAGCAAAGGGCAATGGTGAAAGGAGGGAAAGGAAAGATTTGGCGAGGGACGTCAACCAAAAGAACTCCTCTGAACCCCTCATTGATGCGTATTAAAGCTTCCGGCGTGGTAGGACAACTCATTACTCAACTTGGCGTTTGTTACACACCAAAACATCGTGGTGATTCTTTACCCGTTTTTTTTGATTCTATAAGTTTTCTGGTTACACGCGACACACGCACAGCATACACGACTAACTGAAATTGGTCGGTTGTCCAATTGAATTGTCGCGAGATTCTACTGGTGTTTTGGAGATTTTTTTGAATTCTACCACGAAATAATTTTATTTGTGTAATTGCAGAATTTTACACAACACACGCCGCACACATACAACGAAAAAAGAAGAATTTTGCGTATCTAATAAGTTTGGACTTATTTTCGAACATCTTTCCCGAAACAGACAAACAAACCAAAACTTACTTGGAATTAAAATTTCTTTTTTCTAAACCACAAGGAATGCATAAAAAACACGTAATCTACTACATACGTGACTATGTCCATATATTCCATATCGATATATACCAAATGCATGGTGATATTTTCGTACAACCCAATTATTGTATTATAAGAGATCCGCATACATGCTTATTCCTAATTTATTTTATATATGCGTAGTCCTAACTTTTTCTTGATCACCCCGAGAACAGAGCAAGCGATAAATGCATACACATATACACATATACACAGAGACATAGGACAAGAAACACATGTTGTCATTGTTTATTCAGAAAACGATCAAACATTAACATCAAACATCCAAAAAACGACAACAAAATATGACCTTGCCTTAATAAAGCTTTTTTGAAACGTCCACTGCCGATCATCTGTAAAACAAAAAGAATTTAGTCATCAGGGTTTTCTGATATGAGATGATGGCACTCTCATTCATAAATTTCGTATTTCTTTTAAAACTCGATTTCAAAGGGAAACCTTGACTTTTAGCATAGAAGTCATTTCGGACCAGGTGTTTTCGAACAGTAAAAGTGCAAACTAATGTTGTTTGTGATTATTGTTTTTGTTGTGGGGTCTATCCATGTCGTATCATAATAAAGTATCAAAAAAAAAGGGAAAATAATCAGAACAAAAAAGCATCGTGATGTTTCAGAATTAATTTGAGTAAGAGAGTGAGGGAATGGTTTTTTATATTCCGAATTATTAATGTTGCTGCTGGTGTTGTTACACTTGAATATATTTATTATTTGGAGCATACTGCAACAAAGTACGTAACATTTGCGCCAAGTTATTTTTCAGATTAATTTAGCTTCTTGCATTCTGATATTCTCCAGTAATTTTCGTAGTCTTCATTTTAAGTCAGTATTCTGTAATGTTATCGTTATTATGATTCTTGGTCTATATTCTTGTCATATAAAATTTATATATGATGCAATTTGTTGCCTATTTTGGTAAGATTATTTTGCTAAATAATGATTTCTATTGTTATTTTATTAAAGATAATGTTATTATAATGAATTACCGGAAATAAAAAAAAAAGCATAGTAAAACATGGTAAATTAAAATTTTTATAATGAAATTTTTTAAATATTTTTAATAGATTTTTTAAATTTAATTTCAAGAATATTTCTGATTGTAAGTTGATTGCACAAACTTTTTAAAAATAATTCTTGAAATTAAATTTAAATAATTTACCAATAAAATAAAAAATATTATTATAGAAAGAAAATTTCAATTTTTGCGGAATATGTATAATAACTAATTAGTTATTATCAAATATGATTAATATATATAAATATATACTTTATTCAATTTAAATTATATTAAATGTTTTTTTAAATATATATTTTTATATAAGTACGTATATTTAATTTAATAAAATATTTTATATCAAAATATTTTTAGCAAAAATCGTTTTATTACTAAATTATTTTAAAATAAGCTTGTAATATTAATAATTCCATTAAAATACTTGAATATATATTATTATAGGACTTTAAAATACAATAACTTATAAAATAAATAAAAGAAAATAATAAGAAAGAATAAAAATCAAAATAAAGGAAAATAAAAATAATAAATAAAACAAAGAAAAAAAATAAAATAGAGAAAGAATAAAATAAGAGAAAATAGATTAATTATTTTAGTGATTTGGGAGAAACTATTTTTCAAAATCCGAAATGTTTCGCCCAGTAAACTTTCAGTTTCGTTCCGAGTCCCGAAGCTATCCGAAACCTTAATTTGGAAATCAAATTGGGCGAAACTAGTTTCGCCTGAAGCACTAATTTTAGTATTATCCATTATTTCACTAATTAGCCAAATTATATCTTAAATAGGCATCTAAACTTAAAAACTCATTAAAGATGGTTGATGAAGTCAGAATGTTTGTATTTCCTCAAGAAATCAAACCAATTTTGTTTATTTCAGTTATTTGCAATTCCCATAAAAGATCTTTGAAACCAGTATCTTTTTTGATTATTAATTTTAGAGAAACTAAGGTCTTGTGTTGTATTTATTAATGTATTTCAATAACATCAATATATGTTAGAACTTACTGTTTTTATCATAATTCTTTTTATGGAGTAGATGTTTGACATTTTCCTTACGAAGAGTCTTGGTCGACATTCCTATTTAGCAGTTGAATAAGCAAATAGTAGCCTTCATCTGTCCATTAGAAACGATTGGTTTACAAACGGTTGGTTTATGTTTCTTTACGGCAGAGGTAAAGGACATTAACGCTGAACGGGTAGCTTTGCCGGTGAGACTATCGAAATCCACATTCTTAAACTCGGCTATAGCAATCATCGCTTCTGCTATCAATCTTCCCTAATCAAAATTATGATTTGTATGAGTCGTAAAAAAATCAATTAGTGTTAGTACGATCGTTATCTGCGTTTCGCCGATAAAAACGGTCCCTTTGAATCGGCAGCATCCAAGTTCAAGTTGTAGTTGAAGTAGGGTTGTGATTATATTTGGAGGGAGAGTTGGAACATTCATTTCCTTGTTGTTGTTTATTCGTTTCGTAAAAGCCAGTATATCGATTTTTGGACTAGTACTTTAAAATCATAATAAACACTTGAAAAACCTGCTTAATATTAAACATATACCGTTATATAACACATTAAGTAAAGTCAAAATGAAACTAACATATTGTATACAAAAAATATATTAAGAACAACCGTAAACGTCTAGATATATACCAGACTAATACCAAAGCTTTGATTATCTCTGAAGAGAATTAATTCTCGAAGCTCCGGTTCTTGACCTTGTCCTTGGCGAAATGGTTCAAGATTACCCCTTCAAGAATACTCTGCAACATTTTCGAACGAAAATATTGAATGTTAGCTTTTGTAAATTTTATTTAAAATAAAACGTACACGGGAATCAGCACATGACTAGATAAATAGATTGATCGATCCACATATTTTTTGTCGTGAGATTTTTTCATCTTGTCTGTTAAACAGTTTTATCCACAACAGATAATCCCATATAGGCTCCACCAATTATTATAGAACCAACTAAATAAACCTACTACACCAAAAAACAATAAAAATAAATGTCTTTACCAACATCGACAACATACACAAACACATTACGTGCTCTACCAAGCCGTATACATATTCTTCACCTGTATCGAGGGTTTCTACGTGCCGGCTCCACGTTTTCAAACTATAATTTCCGTGACTTTGTGAAACGTCGGGCACGGGATCAGTTTCGCATGCATCAAAACGAGACGGACCCACACAAAATTATGGGACTTGTTAAAAAAGCCGAAAAAGAATTATTGGTTTGGCAGCGGCAAGGGCATCTGAATAGCTTGTATCGTGTTGATCCGTTGGTGATTGAGACCGAGGAAAAGGATATACGAAAGGATAAGAACAAAACGTTGTTGCGTGGACCGAATTGATTCGTTGGGTGGTTATTTGGCTGACGGGATAAGGTTAAGTAATTATTTGTATTTTTAGTGTTAATTTTGGAAAAGCAAATATTAATTAGATTTTTAAGCGTTTAAAATAATAATTAATTATCTACTATTATAATATAATAGAATAATTATTTTGTTTATAATTTTTATATTTTATAGTCAAGCAAAACCAGTTTTTGGTTTATATTTTATTTCGAGGTTCTTGGGTGATGACTCTATTATGCTATATTACGTTAGACCAGCAATTATTATACTTTAGAGATAATAAAATTACATTATTATTGTTATTATTACTACTACTATTATTATTTGTATATTAATTTGATCAATATTCATGGAATTTACTGTGATCCTGCTCTTTTCGCTGACGATCCTTTTCAAGAAGTTCCTCTTTCGCAATCAGATCGTCGCCTGTTTTTCCACCCATGAATTCATCCATGAATGTGTGTCCTGTTCGTGGTGCAGAGTCACCCGAGGCAGAGTATCGACGAATATGACGAGCTGGGCTGGATTTTATTTGATATTTTTCGTTAATTCGTTACTCACAATATTTGATAAAAACTATAAATTTGATACAAACCTCGTCTCCTCTGGATTTTTCTTTTCTTCTGGATTTGTCTTTTGATTCTCTGTTTGCCCGTACTTCAAATGACGCGTACTCTCAAATTTATCAAGCGTCGAGAACGCGGAGCCACCCACGGTCCCGGTTGCGCTTGATCGATCTTGTTTGATGTGATCTTTTGAAGGATTTATTCCAGACATTTTTTTTTGTTTCTGAAGCCAATTACTTCCTCATATATATATTTAATTATTGTATATTCCCACGCTTTGACCACGCTTGATCGACAACATCATCATCATGATATCACATTGGTATAATTAGATTGTGGCACTAACCAGAAAAATTTTCGCATATACAATAACAAGAGCATATCTATTGTTGTGTCGCGAGCTTTAAATTAAAAGCCCAAGATGACACGCAAACAAAAGACAACGAACAAACTATTGACCACGACTCCACTTCCCTCATCCGACCAGAAAATAGCCAGAGTATTAAGCAGTCGCGGAAAAAATCTTTTTGAGGTTGAATATGTGAACGCGGACGCGGACGCGGACACGGATAATAAAAATGCTAATACTACTACGAATACAAATACATTATGTAGATTACCGCCGAAATTTCGCAATTTGGTTTGGGTGAAAAGAGGTGCCTTTTTTTCGCTTTGATCTGTTGTTTCCCGTTACTAACATATGATGTTTGATTTCTACAGGAAGCTTTGTTATAATATCACCGTCGAGTCCAGATCGTGCATCAAAAAACAAAATTGGTGGTGAAATAGTGCATGTGTTGTTACCGGAACATATCAAACAGTTGAAATTGGAAAATATATGGTTGGTTTTGATAGTGTATATATACTCATTCTTTTTTCAAGCAAAAATATTATATTTTTGTAAATTCATTTATTAGGCCTAAAAAATTTGACAGTATTGATACACAAGCATTAACTGATAATAATAATAACATATTGGAGGAGGAGGATGATAATGATGATTTATTCGTAAATACGAATCGAATAGCCGGAACTGATGATGATAGTAGCGAAAGTGGTGATGATGATGATTCATCCGAAAGTGAAGAAGAAGATCATGACAATGGGATAAAAAAATAAATAGAACCAGAATTAAAGAATTCAAGTATCAAGCGGGCAGAACAGATAGCATTTACACCTATTGCTACTGCCATTACTTTCCATCATTTTTCTCTTCACTTTATCCTCTCCGCTCTCAATATTTCGCAGTTGTTGCATTCTCCTTTCAGTATGGGTTAACACCACCGTCTGTAGCTTCTTGCACAAGGGAACCTCCACCTAATCGTTGTCCTCTTCCGTCACCGCTTATCTTTTGAAGCTGTTTCAGCTGACTATGACTTCTCCCAGTGTGGTAGAATTGCTTCTATTTGAAGACGTCCTTATTGTTCCAATTCACCTTTATTAAACGCGTAAAAATAAACGTAACTTTTTTAATTCTCGTAATTTAATAGACAAAAATATCTCGAAATTGCAATAAATGCAGTAAAAAAAACGAAAAACCTTGTCGTTGACTACTTGTACGAGCAGGACGTGTTTGCCACGTAAGACATTGTATTGGCAAAAACGGGGGAACACTAAAGCAAGGTAGTGAATTAAGGATTAAGTCAACTCGGATAATCTTATAGTTATCCGGATTGACTTAATACACATGACCTATATCTGTAACACATTCAATGATTGCATAACACCATCGCTATGGTTCATGCCATCTATAATCATCAAACAATTTTTATATAATTTGTATAATTTCAAATTGTATCTAATCTTCCAA